TGATTTTTGAACTAGTTATTGTAAGATCAATTTTTTTGTCATAATAGGATAAATTGAATTATGATAACGACTTTGGAGACAGTGATCAAGAAGACGAACCAGATGCATATTTGGCAAGAGTTAAAGCTGAAGCACAAGAAAGAGATGCAGAAGATAATCAAGATTCTGAAGATGAATCTACTGATGAAGATTTTAATCCTAATCAGGTACAATTTTATCACTATTTAAAGTATTACTAATGAATATCGTTTTAAGTAATCATTATAAGAATTGTGGAGAAGAAATATTAAATTTTCATATATAATAACAATTTTAATATTTTTTTACATATTTATACTTTTTATTTAGGATGAGAGTGATGTAGCAGAGGAATATGAGAGTAGTCCAAGTTCAGATAGTGAAAATGACTCAGATATTTCTGGAAAGAGCCAAAAGAAAGAGAAGAAAGAAAAGAAAGAGAAAAAATCAAAATCTGCAAAAACTGTGGTGAGTAATCAAATAGTTTACTAAAATATGTAAAATTCATCATTTTAAAACATACATTACTTTATTTAGTCAGAAAAACCGAGGAAGCGTAGAAAACAGAAAAAAGAGAAAGATGCAAATAAACCTAAAAGACCGCCAACTGCATTTATGATATGGTTGAATAGTGCTCGAGAAAAAATTAAAGCAGACAATCCTGGAATTGCAGTTACAGAAATTGCAAAGAAAGGAGGAGAAATGTGGAGAGAACTTAAAGATAAATCCGTAAGGCTAAATGCAATAAAAATAAGTCTTTATATGTGTTTAAAAAACATTTGATATATTCTAATTACATATGTATGTAAATATTGTTTAGGAATGGGAACAAAAAGCAGCAAAAGCAAAGAAAGAATATGCTGCATCAATGAAGGAATATGAAGCTAGTGGAGGTGCTGGTCAGGTGGAGAAAAAAGAAAAGGGAGAAAAGAAAAAGAAAGAAACCAAACAAGAATCTCCTACTAAACGTATGAGTGGAACTAATTTCAAAAGTAAAGAATATATTAGTGAGGAAGAAAGCAGTAGTGACAATGACAGTAAGGTAAGTTAGCTAATGATTAAAAACACAGTTCATTAAACATTAGTTATATTATTTTTATTAAATGTCTGTACAGAAATCAGGAAAGAAACGCTCAGACGAAGACAGTGACGAAGATAAAGTAAAGAAAAAGGGAGATAAAGGCAGTGCGGTAAGTGATGATGAAAGCAGTAGCGACAATGACAGTAAGGTAAGTTAGCTAATAATTAAAAACACAGTTCATTAAACATTAACTACATTATTGTTATCAAATGTCTCTACAGAAATCAGGAAAGAAACGCTCAGATGAAGACAGTGACGAAAATAAAGTCAAGAAAAAGGGAGATAAACGTAGTGTGGTAAGTGATGATGAAAGTAGTAGTGTCAGTGACAGTAAGGTAAATTCACTAATGATTAAAACCACAGTTCATTAAATATTAGCTATATTGTTTTTATTAAATGTCTGCACAGAAATCAGGGAAAAAACGCTCAGACGAAGATAGTGATGAAGATAAAGTTAAGAAAAAGGGAGATAAACGCAGTGCTGTAAGCTGATGATATTGTTTATATTTTAGTAAAAAAATTAATAATATATTCATTCTATGAGGAACTTATTGAAAGTACTCCACCTTCTAGTGAAGCAGAATCTAAAGACAGCGATTAATAATGATTCCATTATATTCTCAAACTACCATTTAATTTAAGTTTTATCTGTCTATATATAAATATATACCATTAGTATTTTCAAAAAACATCACAATACGTTCCATACTTAAAATTTTTGAAGCCATAAAATATTGTAATGGATATTTATATTTGTCTAATTTTGATTTATTTAAATTTTTTACACGTTTATAAAGTGCATAACTGTAAAAATAATACTATTTCGATTGGTAATTCAATTAGTCGTTTTAAATTTTTAAAAATTCACAATTTCAGTTTGTAATAAAAGACATGTTCTTTCTTATTTATAAACGTAATATAATAGTTAGTGAAATGGCGATGTTAATAAATAATGTTTTTTAAAATAAACCATTTAGCAATTAATTTCAATATTTTGTATTTAATTGCAAAATAATATGTATGTGTTTCATATTAGTATAAACTCATTGTATGTTGTAATTATACACGTATGTACTATAATTTTGTATTAGTATAAAAAGTCGTAAATAAAGTAATTTTAATAACCTTTGCTGTTCATTAAAATAAGAGAACTTAATTTAGTCAAATTTATAATAAAAACATGGGAAAAATATATTTCATGTATATTCATACGTTATACGTATGTTGAAATGTTTTAATAATTACTCCTTGTACAACATTGAATCGGATAAACTGAATGATACACTCCGCCTAGCTGGTACATCGAACAGACTAAACAACGAAAAGGTTAATTTTGAAAATCTATTTTTGTAGGTTTTATAAGAAAAAGTGCATTGTTTTTATGTATAACTGCCATTTGTAAAGATAATAAATATTTTTTATAATGTGATTTTATAAAAAGAGAATATTATGTAGTGTTCTAATACATAAATATATTATATACCTATGTAACACCTATTTAGTATATAACCTATATTTGCACTGCAGTGTCCAGAAATTATAGGTTAGAACTCTAATTGAATACGATCGGAAAAAATTGAAAGAATTAATTCGTTAGATGCAAATCTTTATTGAACTTAAATAATAGCTTATTTGAAGCCAAATATTATAAATAAATTTAAATTAGTTGCACGTAAATTTAGTATTTCCTAATAATGCATATAAGAGAAAGTGCTGGATTTTATGACTTATGTGTAAATGTATCAGGAAATGATACACAAAATTTACATTCTATACTATTAAAGTTACACGAATATGGATTCAAAACAATAGCAATAAATACCAATGTAGATGAAAGTGTCTTTGGAACAGACAAGAAAAAGAAGAAAAAAAGTGATGAAAGTGAAATATCGCAGGGTATCATCCTTGAAACAGTTAATATAGAAAATCTAAGAAGGGAATTTGATGGCAAATTAAAAATTTTTAATCGAATTACTTTCTTTTGTTCTGATCCTACTAAAGCCCATGCATTAAATCATTGTTCAAGTTTAAAGAAATATGATCTATACTCTTTTGCTCCAAAAACACAAAATGCTTTACAATTTGCATGTACTCAATTGAATGCAGATATAATAACACTAAGACCACATACTGTAACTTTCAAATTTAATAAAAAATTATACGAACAAGCAATTGAAAGAGGAATACATTTTGAAATTCAATATGTAGATTTATTAAATGTAGAATCTAGAAAACAGACCATTCACTATTCCCATCTTTTTCATACCTATGGAAAAAGTAAGGTACAAAAATGTTCATATTAAAAAATAAGTTTTCTTTTAATAGTAAGCAATATGTATGTAATATTATCCAGTGGTACTAGTGATGTTAAAACAATCAGAAATCCTTATGATCTTATAAATTTAGCATGTTTACTTGGTTTGAATGAAGTTAAAGCAAAAGCTTCAATATTATATCAATGTAGAAGGCTTCTTTTACGAGCAGGTAATTCATTTCAAAATAAGAAATCAAAATTTTATGAAAACATGAATAAATGAATACAATCAGTAAATTGCTTTGTGTTTTTCTTTTAGAAAGGAGACGCAGAGGAAAGGCTGCTTTTATTATTGAAGATCAAATAAAAAGAACCAATATTACTCAAGACTCAAACTTTTCAAAAAAATTAAAACTATAAGTAAAGTTTAAAAACAAAATATTGTAAATATACATAAACTTGGCTCCATAATCTTTTTAACAGTCATTATATTACATAATTGCTCTTATATTTTAAGAAGTATAACAAAAGAATAAATATTTATCAAATAGCTATAATGTGTATTTCAAAATCAAAAGATTTTAAATACTTTTTTAAAGAGTAACAATTTTATAAGTACCTAAACATATTAAATAAAATATTTTTAAATAGAATTGCATATATCTTTTATTTAACATATTTAAAATAGAGGTAAATTATTTGTTTGGAAGTTACTTTATGTAGAGAAATATACGTTTTGTTAAGAAAAATAGTAGAGAAGCGAGTATGAAACAAATAATGATTTAAAGGTATTACACCCCATCTTAGCAATTTCTTAAATAATATTTCAAGTTACATAACTTTTCCTTTTATACTTTTTCATGAAAAAGAGTAGTTATTTTTGAAGAAAAAAACTCTCATTTTTCATATCACTTATTTACAAATTGACTTTATCTTATATACAATTATATTCTACAAATCGTTGTCGATTAAAAATCCTATATCAATATCCTATACTAAAAATATAAGATATGCATAGAACATATCTTTTATACTGTGAGTAATTTGCCAGAACACCAAGGACATGGATGGAAATTCGGTTCAAACATACAGGAGTCCTTACAATCTTTTATCTCTGTTAAAACATCTAGAATTTCTGAAACACTTTTGTTTTCTGTTTGTGAGTCTATTATTTCTTTTTTGCTTTTTAGAGCTACAGAATCATTGGAATCCACATCTGAAAAATAACTCTTTTCATTAAAATTCTTTGCTATTAGTAAGTTTTATATATCTTAAATTTCTCTATTTTGTTATTTTTATTGAATTAATGTAGCTATATTATGATGTCATATAATTATAAATTAGAAAAATAATACCTGTTTCCATTAAACACTCTGTTCCATTGGAATGTATAAATTCATTTTTAAGGAAATCACTAACCAAGACTTTTAATTTATGCAGTTGCTCTTGTTGCTGATTTCTTTGCTCAAGTAACTGTCGAAATATTTGCTCTCTTTCTCTTGCCCTATTTTGTAAAACTGCTCTTTGTATCTGGTATAATGCTATATATTCTCCTAGAAAGTTAAAGGTCAGATAAAAATTAAAAAAAGTTATTTAAAAATTATCTATTCGTACCTATTGTATCGGTTTCACTTTGTAGTTGTAAAACAAGATGTTCAAGTTTTTGTTTTTCTTCTGTAAGCTCTGCAACTCTTTCCATTGTTTCTTTAAATCTTTGTTCAAGTTGTTTTACAGATTCTGACATTATAACATTATCGTCTTTTAATTCTTCTAAGTGGGCACTTTCTTCCAGACTTGATTCATTATTACTAGCATTAATAGAATATGAATCGACTTCAGAAACAATACTGTCTTGATTCTTTTCTTTTAATTTTTCTGCAAGTGCCCGTTTTTCCTTTTCTAGTCTTTCTATAGTAACCTAAAACAGAAATAAAAATAAGGAAAACTGTTTGATGTTAATTCAAAAACCTGTAATTAAATTAATAACGTTTCACACCAACACAATATAAATGAAAAATAAATAATTACTAAAGCATGTTGAAGTTCTCGTTGAAAAGTATCCGCGTGATGTGACTGTGCTTGATAATATTGCATTTGATCTGCTAGCTGAAAAGTTCGAAATCTTTCTTTTTCATAGTCATGAAGCATAAGTTCCTTTTCCTTGAGTTTTTCTTTCAGTTGTTCTAATTCAGTTTCTACATTATTTAACTGAGCGTTTAATTTTCGTCCTATAGAACGTTCTGCTTGAAGTTGTTCAGTCAAATCCAATTTAGCATTACTCTTAAAAATCATATTAAGAACATGAAGAGTTTATTTACTTTTATTTACTATATCACTAATATTTTTTATTAATTTTTTATTTTGCACTTACTAGAGATACAAAAGCATTTTCCATGTCGGTCAATTGTTCTTTTAACTGTCGATTTTGATGAACTGCTCTGGATGCACCTAGTTGTTCACTTTCAAGGGCAGTAGCCAACTTTGTTACTTCTGCTTCTTGATTACTTACTTCTCGTAAATCATTTATATCTTTCGTTAATATTTCAATTAGTGAATCCT